GTTGTTGTTGTTATTATTTATTTTATTTTTATTTTTTTATTCTTTTATTTTTTACACAAATAGTTTCTCATCTCAGTAGATCTGATGTGGATCAAGATCTAGTTACTAGAAAATTTTAATTCTTAATTTTATTTTTAGAGATGTGGGTAGACTAATAATAATATTATTTATTTTAAGATATAAGGTTACCATTTTGTTTTTTTAGGAAACTTGTCTTTGTTTTCTGGATATTGTTTTTTTTCTAGAAAATATCCTTTTATTATTATTATTATTATTTTGGGAATTTCTATCTTTTTAGTTATGGAAATGGGGTATATTTTGGTAGAGTTGGGATCTTTTAGGAGGGACGTTAACATTAAAGAGTAGTGCGTATAGGTCATCTTTAGTTATCTCCATGTGTTTTAAATAGGATTTATCTTTCATGGAAAGGATAAGTTGTTAGTTGTCAGCAGTGATTAAAAAATCAGTGACCCGATCTGGAATCGAGCGATTCGGAAAGAGAATCATCATGACCATCTCAGATCCAGTAAAAAACCGGGATTCAATCGATTCAGAATCGTAGACTCGTCGATTTTTCATCAAACCGCCGATTTTGACAATTCTTCACCGAGTTTGACCGATTCTTCATGAGTCAAGTGAAAAAAGAAAAGAAAAAGGATCAACAGTTTTTCTTGAATTATTTTAAAAAAAATTTAAGGACAAAAATTACCGATTCCTCCGATTCTTCTGCTCCGACCCACCAATTCCCCAATCCGATATGAGTATAGTTGTGACCTATTCGAATCACCGATCCGATTTTTTAAACATGGCTTACAAGTTTAATGGGAATTGTTGGTGCATGAGTAGTTTGATAGAGTTTAAGTTCACGTTTAATAAGTGTTAGATAGGATAGGAGTCGTTTAGGAGAGTGATTATCTTTTGTAAGGTGTGGCTATTATAAAAGAAAGATCGTATAATGTAATGAGAGATCGAATTTTTACGAAATAAAAAAGTGTTGATGAAAGATCATATTGAGAGATTGAATTTTTATGAAATAAAAAAATGTTGATCTTTTCCGATGTTCAAAACAACGGATTGGGCCAATTAGGCGGTGGTCCTGGCCCGATCCAATTAGTTCGACCGATTATGACTAAATCGGTTGATTAGTGCTCGATTTTTTCCGAAAAATATAATTTTGGTAAAAAAAATCGAGAAATACAAAAAAAATCCAAAAAAAAATTGTAAAAAATGTTGCAAATTTATATGTATTGTTTTTTATATTAAAAACATAAAAAAAGCAAAAAATAAATAGCATAAGCATAATTGGGTTTCAGAAAAAATGATTAGGCATCAGAACCAATATTTTTCAGTGATCAATATATAATAAATATATATTAATATTATATATTCTATATGTAATCAATATGTACTATATAATATAAATTAAATTAATAAAATAAATATAAATTTATAATATAATATGATATAATATTATAAAATAGTAAAATACTTCAACTCAAGACCATGTTTGTTTTTTTTGGGTCATTGGAATTCAATTGAAAATGGGTGTGGTTTGTATAAGATTGCAACCTTAAACAATCTAATTAAGACGCACCTCCAAATTTTATTGTAACATGTAATTTTGGTGTAAAACATTCTTAGGTATATTATCTAAAAATATATTTTCATTTTTAATTATAAAATTTTAAACTCCGAAAATGGTTAAAATCAAATAGATATATAAACATATGAAAATCTTGAAAAATGAACGGTTTAGATAATGTGTTGTAAGATGTACTATTTCTGGGATTCAAAATCTTTTGTTTTTTTCCTCATATTCATATATCTCGATGTCGAGATGATCAAATAGAGGTTTTTTCAACATTAAAACAACCTTTTTTGATGGATTTTTGAGGTGCATCTTTAATTCTACATTTTAAGGTTGCAACCTTATGTAACCATTTTCCATTAAAAATATAGGTAAAATATAAAATTGTTCATCTCTTTGTGTCAATTTTGATAAATTTCCATTTATCTCTCAAATCTTTGTCTATGTGTATATCTGTATGCCCCTCGCAGGGATTGGTGGTGTAGGTATTAGATTGAAGATCAAAACAAATGAGCAACAAATAAATTTTATATCCCCCAGGTTGAGGGACTTATGGACTTTGCACCCTGTCGTGTCCAACCAACTGTGGTGCATCTGAGTCTACTCGCCCAAGGCGGCAAACCCTATAGCTAGCAAACAAAAAATTTGTAATAATATATAAAGTTTTAAGTAGAGAAATAGAAGAATAGGGAAAAGAAAACATTAAGAAAAATATAAAAATCATTGTAAGGATAGCTTTGCAGACTCTGCACTATGGCAATGCCCTTATTGGCTGAATTTTAGAACAAATTCTCGATTCTTGCACTAATCGGCTGATTAGTGCCAATTAGTCCAATTAGTACGTTGAAAATAAAAATCATGCATTCATGACGTTGGAATCAGGCTAGATCGAGATCGGCCAGTGACCGATCCCAATTTAGTCGGCTGATCTTTTAAACACCGATCTTTTCATATCGGGGAGAGAGAGAGAGAGAGAGATGGGCTCTGTGGGTATTTTTTTTCTCTCTTGTGTCCCTCTTCTCAAATCCCCTTCCTTCTTCCTGTCTCTTGAAAGCTTAGAGGAACCCCAATCCGCTTTTGAAGCAGTTGCGTTCTTGGCAACCATTATCATAGTCCATGAGAGTGGCCATTTCTTGGCTGCATATCTTCAAGGAATCCATGTGAGTAAATTTGCTGTGGGTTTCGGTCCTGTGTTAGCAAAATTCAATGCGAAGAATGTCAAGTTCTCTATCAGGGCCTTTCCTCTAGGTGGTTTTGTGGGTTTTCCAGACAATAATCCCGAGAGTGATATCCCAGTTGATGATGAGAATTTGTTATAGAATAGACCAATTATCGATAGGGTACTAGTTATATCAGAATTTGTTGAAGGATTATGCTCACGGGATATAATTCTCAGTGTAAATGGTAATTCTTTGTACAAATCCACTTTCTCTGCTTTTCAAGTTGTTGATATGATAAGGAAAAGCTCTGGTAGGAGCGTCGTGATAAACGTAGAGAGAGAAAATAAGATTTTAGAAATTGGGGTCGCCCTAGATTTTAATTCAGATGGAACGATTGGGGTACAATTGTTTGCTAATTTTAGAGTTTCGAAGCTGAAACCCAGAAATGTCACTGAGGCTACGGCCTATGCTAGCAAGGAGTTTTGGGCTCTTTCTATGAAAGTGTTGGATAGTTTGAAACATATCTTTTTTAATTTTTCACAATCAACAAGCAAGGTTTTAGGACCTGTAGCCATTATTGCTATAGGAGTAGAGATCTCAAGATCAAGCACTGATGGCCTCTATCAATTCGCAGCCATTCTTAATCTTAATCTTAATCTTGCGTTAATAAATTTGCTTCCTTCACTTGCTCTTGATGGTAGGTCATTGGCTCTTTTACTTGTAGAGGCGGCAAGAGGGGGTAGAGAGATCCCCCAAAAAGTTGAGCGGAAGATGCTATGTGGATTTTTGAGAAAAAGAGAATAGAGAGAGATAAACGTAGAGAGTTCGGGATTTTAAGAGAGACCGCAATAAGGGCTTGTGAGATCTGTAGGTTTTTAAGAGTGAGAGAGAGGAGAGAGAGAGACAATGTTGAGATTTGGGGCTTTTGAGAGACACCACAAGGCTTGAGCGCACTGTGGGTTTTTTTTTTTGTTTCTTTTTTTTGAGAGAGAGAGGAGAGAGAGATTTTGCTAGTCTCCAGAGAGAGAGGAGAGAAACCTTTTTGCTGGTCTTGAGTGAGAGAGAGGCGAGATATTTTGCTCAGTCTTGAGAGAGAGAGAGAGGAGAGAGATGTTATTCTCCATCTTGAGAGAGATGAAGAGAAGCTATAGAGAGGACATCAAGATGAAAGAGAAAAATTTTAGTGAACCAAAGAAAAAGGCAAGAGCCTTTTTACTCTCGTTCTGTCTAAGTTCATTTGTTCATTTTTAAGGCTAACAAAATGGTGGGGGAGGACATTATCCCGTTTATGGGTAATTCTTCCTTCTCTAAAGTTATTGGTAAAGGGACGGTTGAATTTAAATTCATATCTAATAAAGTCTTCACCTTTTTGGATGTGTATCATGTTCCTGAAGTCTGGAGAAATTTGGTAGTGGGGTTTCAAACTTGTTTTTGAGTCCGACAAGTTTATCTTGTCGAAAAACGATGTTTCTGTAGGAATGGTGTAGACCTCGGAAGGCATTTTCCAACTCAATATTCACAATAAAATGGGTGTGTTTTTTTCTGTGTATATGCTCGATCCCATTTTTTATGGCATGGTAGATTAGGCCATGTTAATTGTCATGCATAAAGAAAATTGAGTACTTTAGTCCTATATCTAAAGTGCGTGAATTTAGAAAATATTTTGTGAGATATATGAACAGTCAAAGATCACAAGAAAACCCTTTCCAAATTCAGAAAGGAGTTCCAGGTTACTTGAATTGATACATAGTGACGTATGTGATATGAGCAGCATACAAACTCGTGCTGGGAAGAAATTCTCACTTTTATAGATGATTTCTCAATATATACTTATGTGCATTTGACTATGAACAAAGATGAAGTATTTGAGAAGTTCAAGGTTTATAAAACAACAGTTGAAAACCAATTGAATTATATAATTAATGTTTTTAGAAGTGACAGAGGTGGTGAATATTGTTCTGTCTACTTCACTAATTATTGTGAAGAAAATAGAATAGTCCACCAGGTTAATGTACTATACACACCGCAACATAATAATTTAGCTGAAAGGAAAAATCGCACTTTTATGTTGGTCAGCCTTGTTTTTCCCAAGTGTGTTCGTGCCCCCCACGCGTGCGAGTGTGTGTGCACATGGGTGACCCCAACATGTGCCCATGAGGATAAGGGTGGGCGGCGCGGTGCAAAACAAACCAACAAACATAAAAGTGAGGCAAGGCTTACTTTGGGTTGAAAGGGTCAGATGCACCCAGGCGAATTGCCCTCTTGGATCCTAGCGCTTGGATGTGCTAGAGGAAAACCCCCCCGGTTGTCGATTGACGGGGTTTGGACTCACCCCCTTTGCTCTCTACTCGGCTCGGTTCCCTCGCTTGAATCGCATGCACATTACAGTTCAGGTCTGATGTACTCTTACGTTTGTCATTTGGTTTGGGAAAGAAAAGTTCAAATATAGGCCTGGTTGGGTTGGTACTAGGTTCATGTGGTTTGGGTTTAGTGTGGGGTAAGCTAGGTGACTTTGATCAAGATAGGTGAGTGCGTGAGGGGTTAGATGGGTTTGGTTGGGCTATGCTAGGCTTGTTGGGCTAGGTGGATTCTGTTATGGTGGGATAGGCTCGTTAGGCTTTGTGGGCCTTGTTGGGGGTAGGATAGGATCGTTGGGCTAGGTGGGTTTGGTTGGTGGTAGGACGGAAGAAAGGAACAAAGTGCACGACCTAAGTACCTCATAAGAAATTTCAAGGTAATTACTCCAGACGGACCCAGTTGGTTTAACAAGCCGAAAGCCTTATTTGAGAATAGGGTGTAGTCTAGGAAGGGAGTAGGGCAGAATGTAGAGTACGGTTTAGGTAGGGAGTAGAATAGAGTGGTGTGTCTAGGTAGGGAGTAAGGTATAATGGGATGTATGGTATACGTAGGGATTAGGGTAGAATGGAGTGTATGGTCAAGTACGAAGTATGGTAGAAGGGGGCGTATGGTCTAGGTAAGGAGTAGGATAGAAGGGTAGTCTCTCCTTTGCACAAAATTTCTCTCTCCTCTCTCGAGGATAGAATATATTCAAGAAAGCACAAGGCAAAAAAAAAAACACTCACTTTCTCTCTATTAAGTTTGACAAATATTGGACAAGGTGAACTAGCAGGGTATATACGCTTTTAAATTTTTCTCTTTTATATCGACTAGAACACTTACAAAAGTTCAATTACAAGTAAATAAACTCAAAATAAAATAAATAAACAACTTCTCACTTCTGGTCACTAATAAATTTTTTTTTATTCTATAAGAAAAACTTACATAATACTATAGGAATGAAAACATAAGAGTGCATACCACAAAGAAGAATGTCAGAAGATTACCACAATTGGAATTTGCACATCCCATTCTGGGTCTCCTCTTTTAGTGGCGCACGGGATCAATGGCCTATCTCAGATCTTTGAAGTATGAGAAACCATAAGCTACAACGGTACAATCCTTGAACAAATATGAGAGCAATGGAGCAGTCTGACAATAACTATGCCTCAATGCCGTAGTGTATGGGGTGTGCCCCTCTCTTGGATCTAATATGGCTAGGGCATGCCCCCTTAGTTTTTTAACTTAATATTATTCTAAGGGAGAGATGGAGAGAGATCCTAAAGAGAGGCGAGAGGGTGGGGTGCCACCCAGAGAGAGAAGAGAGAGATGAGAGGTGTGTTGAATATAAAGAATGAGCCCCCTATTTATAGACTTTATCTAGGGTTAGGGTTTTTTCGGGTTAACCATCCTTATTGAGATTAGGTATAGACCATTAATCATGGAATACGTGGGGGGTGAGAGATCGAAGCTATACAATCCTTAGATCAGCTATCATGATTCAAAAGAAGGTGCTAGAACCTTATCTTTCAGGTTCTTAAACCTAATACCATCAAGTAATAAAAATCTAGAAAATATATCACACTTTTCTATCTCTTGTATAAATCTCTGATACATGCTATCTTTGAATATTCAAAGTTCTTGAATCTCAAAATATTTCAAAATATTTCAATTAGATTGAGTGCCTTAGATGGCCTCTCAACAAATGGAAAGGTAACCCCTCTAAGTGGAGAGTGCCATGTGGGGGCTCTCTAGTGGGCCCCACACACTTTACAAAATCATCTATTGCTAGCCACCTATATATATATATATGAATTATAAAATTATAAAAATTATTTTTCAAAAAATATAAGTATTTTATTTTTCTCTCTGAATATTTAAAATACTGAACCTTAAATATCTCTATTTATAAATCTATTTTGAGCAAATAAAATATCTAAAGACTTTTAAAAAATCAAACTATCAATTTAAAAATCTTTTAACATCAATATAATTAATTCTACATAATTTTGATGGGAATCGCTTCTAACTAGGTCAAGGAATTATAAAATTATTGAAGTACTTCATCTTCTACTATGGACTATAATCCACACTCACTTTATCAAACTGACTTATCATTTCTTATGACCCATAGACCATCGCAGGGGGTTCATGATTGACCTACCAAAGTTAGCCAATAGTTGAAGGGATACAATTCCAATCTATGATTACATAATCTTTCATAGAGATAAGTTGAAGGTCATACAAACTTGGTACTACTACAACTCTAGGGTGTATAGGGGTTATCTTTCGCACATGTACATGTATCAACCTCAACCGTGATTTTCTTTACTAATATGACTATCATACCTAAATGTCGTGCGATAGTTCAAAGATGAGGCATTGGCCCTCATCTCTACAAACTTACCATCACACACAAAGGTCAAACATTCCCATGGATCTCAATCCTAGGGAATGCCGACCTCATCAATGGATAACCATGTAAACCATCATCGATTGTTCTCTATGCCCAGGTAATTAAGGGTTATCCAACTCGACTGACCTAGCGTGTTAGGCTTAGTCTAAGTTTTGGTAAATAGCATTTGCCTTTCTTGATCCAATTTGACTATACTCGCACTGAATTTTTGTTCCACTATATCAAAATATTGATTACATGCTCTCATACGGCTTTTAATAGCCACAAATACCCAACATTTCATCCCTTTTTCACTAATTTTTCTAAGCAATTTAACATTACAAACTATGGGGTTTATGTAGAGGTTACCCATGAAACAAGAATGTATACTCAAAACCCCATTAAGATTGTTGTTAAATAGAAATAATAAAAATAAACGAAATTTGAAATAAAAAAAAATTACCATACAAACCACTAAGAATATTGGATATGTGACATTTCAAGGCCCTATAAGTAATGCTAGCAGTTTTCTAAGTCACAGTGAGAGTAATCAGTGGCTACTAGACTCTTTGCTTACTAAGATCCTAATTATAAAAAATAAACGTAGTTGAACAGAGTTGAGGTTCTTGGAGCATATTGTGAATTGAGAGGTTTTAGGATTTTTCCAATAGTCAGGGTCAGTAGAAGTAGATTCGCCTCATGTCATGTGAGGCAAAGCTTGGGGATCAATAGATCCCTTTTT